TTTAATTATTTTGTTAAAATGTTTTATCCAGCTAAAAAAGATATTGTAATAATTCTTTAATCGGAAACGGCTAGTTTTCATCCTTATCTAACTACTTTGTAAGTACTTTCCTATTCAAATTATATGTTAGGAATTTTCATCTAACTGGAAAACAATAGCAAAGGATGTTGCCTACAAATAAGGGAGAATACAAATGAGCAATGAGTAGTGAAATTGACAATTAAACTCAAAATCTTATGACTGAAAGTTTATATAAGTCCTTTCATTTTACTATATATTTTTTTATTAAGTTGAACTATATTTGATGTGAGACTTTTCATATCATTTTAAGCATATTCATACTTTGACGTTGACACTCTAATAATGTCTCTATCAAGTGTGAGCTCATTATCTTCTTTATATTAAAGACACCAAAAACATCAATTCTCCACCATCTAACTAAGGCAACCCCAATTTTTTTTGCTTTAAAAGATGGTGCACAAAAATTCTTTGGCAAAACTAGAGTTATTTGCACAACCTAACTTTGAATGGCATGCAATTACAAGCTTTCAACATCATCTTTTCACAAGTGTCAAATGAAATTAAGCTTCGGTGCCACTTGTCAAAATGCAAAAATAAAACAAAACAAGAAGCAAAACCCAAAACAGAGAAAGAACAAATAGGAAGTCTATATTTGTTTGGTTTGTTAATTTCTAAAGCCTTGAATCAACAACTAACACAATTAAGAGGTTATTAAATGGAATCACTATCAATGATGACAAGGTATTATATGTAATAGTCCTCACCCCATCTCACTAAGGTAGGAGAGGTTAAAGGCTCGATCCCTGAGAAGATTCTAAAAGACTTCTTTGGTGAAGTGAAGAATAACCCATGTACTATTATAAGAAAAGTCACACGTGGGCCCGTAAGGGGACACGTGCCACTACCGTATTTGCCAGCGTAAAAGGAGCTATGCTGTTATATAAAAAATATGTTTTTGAGCCTTCTCAAACTCGAACCTCCAACCTCTACCTCAGGGATCGAGCCCTCAACCTCAACCTCTCAATGATACCAGGATTGGCCACAACCTCACTAAGGCAGAAGATATTGGGGGCTCGATCCTTGAAAGGTTCTAAAAGACCTTTTTAGTGGAGTAAAGAATAACCCATATACTACCGTAGGGAAAGTCACACGTGGGCCCGTGAGGGGACACCTGCCACCACCGCTTTCGCTAACATAAGGGGCTGAGGGCCGTGCTATTACATATATATAGGGAGAGCTTAAAAGAAAGCAAAAGGAAAGGTAGAGTTGATACCCAAATTTGAGCACGAAAGAATTAGTTGGTCTAAGAAATTATAAGGTGTTAATCTAGACTTGAAAAGTCTTGATGACAATATTAATGATGACAAACTGAAGGAGCTACTTTTGACATTTAAACTATTACATCATGCAAGGTTATGCGTGATTCACTTAGACATAGCAAGTTTTGCTTTTGTGGCTTGTTCTACTCCTTAGCAAGCAAGTAAAGCTTTAAAGGAAATGAGTGATAAAATGGTAGGTCAAAAACCTCTTTATATTGTTGTGGCTCAATGCTCAATGAAAAGAAGAGATGAAGGGCATGTACTCATTTGGTTTAGATATGTGTACATGGTAGAATTGTACTAATTCATATGTACTATAATTCCTATATATCATCATAGAGCACCTACCCTTGCCCCTCGACAATTGTACTATAATTAGGAAACACGCGGATTGATACCATATCAATTAGCTACTTTTGATTTCCAACAACAACTCTAGCCTAAAATGTTTTTTGGTGTTGCTCTAAATTTTATTATGTTACATTCTTAAGAATGGGGAGCAACTACTTAAAAAATAGGAAGAAAGAACAAATAGGCAAGAGCCATGGAATAACATTACATCTTGCTCATGTGTTATCTCCTTTGTATTTGGGTAGTTACTTCTTATTCTTAACAAGTGGTGTTAGAGTACAAAGAACCTAGTAGGAATAGCTAGTGTCATGAAGGTTAATGCCAAAATATCTATAAGCAAATAAATGTTATACAACATAGAGATGTGCAGAGAACCTAGGATGAGGAGAAATGTTCCCAAGCATAGAGAGCCATGCATGTGTTCTAGAAAGGTTCCGCTTGGGCAAAGGATGTGTTTTTTACAAGGTTGAAATTTCCAACATGTGTAGCAAAACCAGATGCTATATAGAAACTCCAATCAAGAGTTTAGATCATCGATAACACTCAAAATGACATGGGCCTGCCTATTGTTCTTCAGGTCTTGTATGTGAGTTTGGGTGTGAACATTAGCTTTGGCCTTTGCTATACCAAAAAATCAGTGCATGATGCTAGGTTAACATCTATATCCCTTCAGTAAGCCTCTTGCACCAAACTGTACAGCAAAAGTTATAAAGGTGTTGCTAGAAATGGATCCATCCAAATTTATCCATCTCAATGAACATCTCATTGAATATCCTATATATATATATATATATATATATATCAACTTAAACGCACTCACACTTAAGCATAATAAAAATATGTTAATATGAGAACATCAATTGATAGTAATTAGTCCCAACACATAACAAATAACAAGGAATTAAATGACACAATTTGAATTACATGAAATTATTCACAGCCTACTTCAAGGAAAGATATAATATTATTTTTATTTATATTTTGGTATGAATTTACTTTTTATCAAGGACAATCTTATATAGAAATTTAAATGTTCAAAAATCAAATTCAATTTCTAAAAAAAGCTCCCCAGGTAATCGAACTCATGAAGGCATCCTCCAACCTTAATAACATGATAAAATTATCTTTTATTGATTTTTAAATTATAAAAGCTCGAATGCACCTCAATGTCCATCCAAAAGTAAACAAGTGCACTTTTGTTGCGTGTATTTATATATGCGCGCGCGTCTGGATATCCTCTCCATGCATGCTCTCCCTCAATACTCATCCTTATTAGTCTATTAACTGTCGATAATTTGCTGTAACTCTATAATTAGTGTTTTTGTTTTTCTCATGCCCAATATTAGGTAGTACATGCTTGGATAAGCTCTAAAATCAATTTTAGATGTCAAAACCATAGTTTTTTTAAAATATATCCAAATACCGGCTTATATATTAAAATCAATTATAAATCTAGAATCATATTTTTTTTAAAAAAAATATCTAAACACTCACTATATATATCAATTATGAATCCAAAACTATAATATTTTTAAAAATATTCAAATACATTTATATATATCAAATTAATTATGAGCTTACATACACCTAGATATTAAAGATAGCATGGTCATATAAAAAATTAGGGAGATTACATTTCAGAAGCTTCTCCATATTGCTTTCATCAAATCCACATTCAAGGGCATTTTAGAAGTACTTCCCAAAAATTAATTTGGAATCAAATTGAATACCCAAACGATTTTCCACTTTCTAAAAACGCTTTAGAAAGTGATAGTGGTGGGAAAAACAAACCGGCCCTTAGCACTCCACGATCAACGTTCTATCTACATCTCCAGATTAATAGAGTAAAGGGGGTTCTAGTTGCTTAAATACAGTATGGTTCATTTTGAACCAATGTGACCCAGTATCTTGATGGTTCTCACCGACAAATAAAAAATATAATGCTGATAGAAATGCTAAAATAAATAAAGATTAAAATAACCAATATACTAAAATATTAGGAGACGAAAAGTGCCTTTGCGTGTCGATTGGGAAATTACTTATATTTAGTCGAGCCAACATTCTTCAGTGTTTATGTATCTTTCTACTCCTTTTGCCCGTAGAAAGAAAAACAAAGTGATGACCATACGGAGTCTCTGTTTCTGTGGCCAATTACCATAAACCTAATAGACGTATCAATGTGAACCTAGCTAGCTTCCAACCAAACTCATCCGATCCTTCACTAATTTCAATGAAATAACTAATAAAAAACGAACCATTCAAACGAAGTAATATTAAACTCAGATGGATTTTTCCATTTTTAGTATTAATTTGTCAGATCAGTTACACGAAGAATCTTGAATATTCGAAGATTTTTTTTTTTAAATTGCAAGACGCTAGAGAGATAAAAATTAAAGTAATGAAATATTTTCCTTTTCTAATTTCGTTAGGAAAGAATATGTTGTAATTCTTAAATCAGAAACTGCTATATCCGTCCTTGTATCTTTCCATTTTTTAGCATTAGCACATAATTTGCCATTTCTATAAATGTATTTGGGTGAAAAAGATCATACCCCTCCTCCGTCACAAATTATAAAATACTTTTAGATAAAATCTTATATATCAATAAAATTCATTAAATATACTTTACAACCTTACTTTGTCAAGACAAAATAAAAATTTTTAAAATTACCCTTTATTTAATACTCCATTGATAAAGAAATATTGAAGAGAGGAAACATATGAAAAGGATAATATTGAAAAATTATCATTTATGAAACTTTATTTTTATTAAAGTATCTCATATTTTGGAATGTTGAATATTTTATAAAAGTATTTTATAATTTAAAACAAAAGGAGTGTGATAATGATTGAGTTGAGGAATTATTTTTTGGGCCAAATATGCTGAGGAACTGAATGTCGCATTCTTAAATCGCATGGTATCACTCAGAGGAGATTACCTCCGAAAGAAGATAGTATTCTTTTCCATCTATCTTGATCTGAATTTATTTTCTCAAGGACACTCTTGAAATAGAAACTTAAATGTATTGTAAGTCAATTTCAGCATCTTCTAAAAAAGTTTGTTCTGCAGCAAATCAAACTCGTGAAAGGCATCTTCCATTTCTAATAACTAAATTTAAGGAGGCCAAAAAACTATAACAGGTAAAATCATTTTGGGTCCAAAATACTTGATGAAACGTACTTTATCTTTATCTATCTATATATACACAGACACACATGGGCACGTGTGGACTTGCTTCTATACTGTATAATTTTCTTCTCTCCCACTAGCTTAGCTTCTTGCTCTCTGCAGGTAATTAAAAACTCAAACCATCACTCATGACCAAAGTAAAACAAGCCTTCGCCGGAATATCCCAATATTACGGCAAGAGCATTCCCATGTCCAAAAAGAACAAGAAGCTCTTCTACTTGGCCTTCTTCACTTTTCTGCTTCTCGTTTCCATTATTACTGTTGCCATTGTCGTCCGAGTTAGCACTGACAATGTTCCTTTCACCCGATCACACGCCGTCGTCAAAGTCTCTTGTAGTTCCGCATTGTACCCTGAACTTTGCTTCTCTGCCATTGCCGCCGAACCCGGCTTCACCGAGAAAGTCTCTTCGCACAAAGACGTCATACAACTGTCCCTTAACATCACTATCAGAGCCGTACAGAATAACTCCGTCTCCCTCAAGAAGCTCCAAACGAGAGCAGACCTCACAAAGAGAGCTCAAACCGCTCTTGAAGATTGTTTGAAGATCATTGACCACACCCTCTATGCACTTCGCGGGTCCATCTCGTATCTCAACGACTCCAGTTATCACGCCGATGACCTCAAGACTCTCGTCAGCTCCGCCATAACGGACCAAGAAACCTGCCTGGACGGATTCTCCCACGATGACAAGGACAGGAACGTGAGGGAAGGACTGGGGGACGGGCACTTGAACGTGGAACGAATGTCCAGCAACGCGTTGGCGATGATCATGAACATGACCGACACTGAAGATTCCATTACTAGCGGAAAAATGATGGAAGTAGAGGAAGAGGATGGGATTACGTGGCCGGAGTGGATTTCGACGGCAGACCGTAGGCTTCTACAAGCTTCAACAGTGGATGCAGATGTGGTGGTCGCAGCAGACGGAAGCGGGAACTACACGACGGTGTCGGAGGCGGTGGCAGCAGCGCCGGAGCAGAGTAGCACCAGGTATGTGATAAGTATAAAAGCGGGGGTGTACAGTGAGATCGTGGAAGTGCCGAGTGAGAAGACGAATATCATGTTTGTGGGAGATGGAGCAACGACCACTATCATCACAGGAAGCCAAAATGTTGTTGACGGGAGCACAACCTATAGTTCTGCCACAGTGGGTAAGCCATAATACGTGCACACACACTGATACTAAACATCAAGGTAATTAAATATTATAATAAGCATGTGGGTGCGGGTGTGTTGCAGCGATAGAAGGAGATGGATTCTTGGCGAGAGACATAACGTTCGAGAACACGGCGGGTCCGACGAAGCACCAAGCGGTGGCTCTGAGAGTGGAAGGCGATCTCTCAGCATTCTACAGATGCAATTTTCTTGGATACCAGGACACTCTCTACGTCCGGATCAATCGGCAGTTCTTCGTGAACTGCCTCGTCGAAGGCACCGTCGACTTCATCTTTGGCAATTCCGCTGTCGTGTTCCAATACTGCGACCTCCGAGCTCGGCTTCCCTTATCAGGACAGAAGAACGTAGTCACTGCACAAGGACGAGTAGACCCCAACCAGAACACCGGCATTGTCATCCAAAATTGCACCATCAGAGCCACTCAGGTATTATGCAGATTACACATTTTTGATAATCAAAAGAAGAAAGTATATCATTAATCTTTGATGATGCATGTATATATATGCAGAGTCTGGAGGCAGCGAATGGAAGCGTGGAATCGTACCTTGGTAGGCCATGGAAGGAATACTCGAGGACAGTGATAATGGAGAGTTATATAAGCGATATAATAAACCCAGCTGGGTGGTTGGCTTGGAATGGGACGTTTGCATTGGACACTCTGTTCTATGGCGAGTATCAGAACACTGGACCTGGTGCTAATACTTCTCAAAGAGTTCATTGGCAAGGCTTTAGGGTTATTACCAGTGCTTCCGAAGCTCTAACTTTCACTCCTGGAAGCTTCATTTCTGGCTCAACCTGGTTGGCCTCTACTGGGTTTCCATATGCCCTTGGACTTTAATTTCATTTATACCCTCAAGGTTAACTTAATCTGGGTTTGAGTTCGGTACTATATGTATAGTGTTGCTAGCCCAGATCAATGAAATCTTTAATTTGTTATAAGCCTCTATAAAAAAGTATCTGCCTACCCCGTTGGCTCTGTAATTGAAAGAGTATCTTTTTTAATTAAATATATATATATATATATATATTGAACTTGCTTCCTTGTCTGTCAAAAGGTTCACACATGAAGCTGCCGATTTTTATTTTTTTAACCAGCAAAAAAGCTTCACACCATCAAAGCATAACGAGGTTCAGATACACATAAATTAAATAGCAGCAAACGAAGGAGCACTAAACAAACAAGTAATGGCTAGAGAAACAAACAGACTGGATTCCCTACGTACCGTCGTACAGGCACTAAGTGCTTATCCTATTTAAGCAATTGAAATCACACTCCATCAAAAATTAATAAATGAGTGAGTTTATTTAAATTGAGATTTCAATGACTTAGATAAAAAGGATACTCAATGCCTATACTAAGAACACGCACCAAATCCAAATCCGTGAAATCAATGTTGCCTTTCCGTTCGGCTTCTTCAAAACACTGGTCTATTGATCAAGTGGCGCTGATAAATTTTTGTCATGGTAAAGTGGTAGCTTCGGGGGGATTAAGTTAATGCTTATAAGATTTAAATTCCATGACCTTTTTTCTTAGCGCTCAAAATAGTTAAAGCCTTTTTGATTTTTTCCCCCCTTATGAGCTTCAATATTCAAACCTTTAGCTTAGACTAATCTAGTTGATAAGGCCCCATATGAATAGGGTGGGGTTAGGCATTATCCTTGCCGAGTGCCTAACTTAATGTACAATTCAAACCAACCTTATGCCCGAGTGTACATTTGAGTTGGATTTGCTCGAACAACTCAAAAAATTTGGAAATAATTTTTTGAAAGATATATCAAAAATTTTCTTTGAAAAATATATAAATATTATCATTTAAAATATATTCTTTATAAAACTAATCATAATCAAAAGTAGCTTTTTTAATTCCGTAGATCAACAACTATAATTATTTTTATATAATATTAAGTTAAAAACAAATTTTGAATTTTGGAAGATATTAAAAAATTTTAATAATAAGAAATGTTCAAAAAATCTTAAAAATAATATAGTTCATGATAACTCTCAACAAAAAATAATGTCTTAAAATAAATATTATTCACAAAGTTAAAAAACAAAAAATGGCATATGTTCTGACCGGGTTTGTTAGGGTAGGTTTGACCCCTCTTCAGTACCCGGCCTGTTTTGCTTCGAATTTGAATGGCTCAAGCAGGATCAGGCTTTCGAGCAATGTGTGTGGCCCTACTAGTTGACAACTAGTGGTTATAACCCCCAAGAATTTAATTGTTGCTGCATATACTCAGAGCTTAAACTAAAGATCTCTTATTAAATTAGATGAATCCTTTTATTAGTTGATCCAAATGCCTGAATGGTTAAAATAGTTAAGGGCTTTTGATAGTGTTAATAGGATCAATTTTTAACTAAATGAGAAAAATATACCTTGACCACTACATAAATAATACAATTAAAATGTGAAAGCGTTTTGTATATAATTAGTTTATGTGGATTCATGGTATGTGAGTTGTAATTGGGCAAGACATAGATGATATGGTATTTTTTAAAGACCCCTTGACCAGACTTATTTTGAATTAAAGCTCCTAAACTTTTAAAATATTACTATAGTTCAGGAATCTTGATTTCATATTAAATTTTTGAGAGAAATGACAAAATCACCCTTCATTTAAATTAATATCATAACTACCTTATTTTACTTGTTCATTTACCTATAAAATGTTATTTATTACCTCTACATTGTTTATTTATTTACGAATTGTTGTTCATTACTTTACTTCACTTGCTGATTGCTCTATTTTACTTGATTTCATTTCAGGTGTTTAAATCATCTTAAGATGACTTGTTGTTCATTTACTTATAAATGATATTCATTACCTTATTTCACTTGTTCATTATCAGATTTTCACTTGATTTCATTTAAAAAAATAAACAAGTTAAGTAACATAATAAATAACATTTTATGAGTAAATGAACAAGTGAATTAAGAAAATGAACAAATAAGGCAAGACATTTCTAATATTGATATAAATGAGAGCCAATTTTGTCATTTTTTTAAAAAAATTTAATATCAAATTAGGGCCTCTAGACTACAGTGATATTTTAAAAATTTAAAAGTTTTGATTAAAAATAAGTCTGATCAAAAAACCTTTATTGATATTTTTCCTATTTTATTTTGAGAGAATGGATCATAAGGTGGATGTAGGGCCTAAAGCATCCTTGATTTTGCTTGGTTTATGGTCAACAAATCAGCACAGACAATATGACCCCACATTGTTGGCCCTACTGATTTCATGCCCGACCCTTCTTGCGGGCAACTCATGAATAACCTCTCTCTTCGTGTAAAATAAATAAATATTTTTGATCAAGCAATAATTATCAAGTAGGAAGAGCGATAAAGAGGTCCAGAGTGACTAATTAATTTAAATTAAATTTGAATATTAAATTTTAAAAATTTATAAATTTAACTCTCAATTTTATAAATTTACTGTAATAAATTTATAATTTACGTTTTAAATTTTAATAAAAATAAATTTATTTATTTTTTAATTATTTTAAAATTTAGGACATAAATTATAAATTTATCATAATAAAATTATAAAATTAAAAACTTACCATTTTTAAATTTAACATTTTAAAATTTAATTTAAATTAATTAATTCTCTTGAAATTTACATATCGTTCCTCTAACATGTTGTCAAGAGTTTAATCCCCCGCGCCTTTTTTACTTTTTTTTTTTTGTTTTAACTTGTCATGAGTATGAAAAACATCATGTTCAGAAAAGACAAGATCTGTCAGAGAAATGCCCTTATTAAAAAAAAAAACTCTCATTCAATAGTCATATATATCATTGGTACTCTCAACTTCTCATCCGCTCATTTTCACTCCTTCCACCTTATCTGATCTCCTTCGCTACACATTTTGTGTATTTATTTTAATTTAATCTTGCTACTGCTATTTTAATTAAATTAAAAATTATAATTCATGAAAAAATTATATATATTGCGAATTTAGTATGTACCAACTTATACTGGCAGTTAAAAAGCCACCGACAGTTCCAAGCTGCGTGTTGTGCTCCAATATTTTGCTACATAAATCATTTTATCTCTTCTCCTTAAACTGGCCACATCAACTCCTTCTGTTACCAAAACTCCATTTTGTCAACTCTTGCATTGACCACCTATGAGCAAAACTAACCAAGTCTCCGCCGGAACACTGGATTCCGGCAACCACATTCCCATGTCAAAGAAGAACAAGAAGCTCTTCTTCTTCGCTTCCCTCACTACTCTGCTCCTTGTCTCCGCCATTGTCGGCGTTTCCGTCGGAGTTAACTCCCGCAAAAACTCCGGCGATGGCCTCCACAATGTCCATTCGAGAATGGCACACGCAATTGTCAAAAGCGCTTGCAGTTCCACCATGTACCCCGATCTCTGCTTCTCCGCCATCGTCACTGAACCCGGCTTCGCTCGGAAAGTCTCCACCCACAAAGACATCATAGAACTATCCCTCAACATTACCATCAGAGCCGCACAACACAACTACTTCAACGTCAGGAAGCTCCAAACCAGAAAAGGCCTCACAAAGAGAGAGAAAATCGCTCTTCACGATTGCTTAGAAACGATTGACAACACCCTGGACGAGCTTCACCGAGCCATCGCCGACCTCGAAGACTCCGGTCATCACGCCGACGACCTCAAGACTCTCATCAGCGCCGCCATAACCAACCAAGAGACCTGCCTGGACGGGTTTTCCCACGACGGCGCTGATAAACACGTGAGAGAAGGGCTGATGGACAGGCAACTTCACGTGGAACGCATGTGCAGCAACGCACTGGCGATGATCAAGAACATGACGGACAGTGAAGTGTCGATGAGAAATAGAAAATTGACGGAGGTGGATGAGGCGGCGGACGGGGTAAGGTGGCCGGAGTGGCATATCGGCGGGAGACAGGAGGCTTCTGCAGGCGCCGACGGTGACTCCAAATGTGGTGGTGGCAGCGGACGGGAGTGGGAATTACAGGACCGTGGCGGAGGCGGTGGCGGCGGCGCCAGAGGGGAGCAGCACGAGGTATGTGATAAGAATAAAAGCAGGAGTGTACAAGAGAGAACGTGGAAGTGACGAAGAAGAAGACGAATATAATGTTTGTGGGAGACGGAAGAACCAACACTGTCATCACAGGAAACAGAAACGTCGTTGATGGAAGCACAACCTTTCACTCCGCCACTGTAGGTAAGTAGAAAGCATTATATATCTCAATCGTCGTTCCTCGATCCGTAAAAACATATTTGTGTACACATTTTCTTTTGTAATTACTTTAAAAGGAATATACGCATGATGAGTTTAGGCCGTAAACAAAAATATTTTGGCATGGCAGTCTAAATAAGTTTCTGGATATATTTTATTATTAGTATAAACTAATGCAATCAATTCATGGCAAATTAAAAATATTTAACATGGTTAGTGTTGATTTACATTTATATGTTTAAAATACATAAAAATCGTCTAAACTTCTTAAATGATTTATGCTTTTGGATATTGGAGTCAATTGCCTATATGCCTGCGAATTGGACCAGGTCAGAGGTCCGTAGGCTTCAAGGCGTAGTAAGAAAAAAAAAAAAAAATTGGGGGACAGCTCATGCATGTATATGCACGGAAATGAAATAGTCTTTGTCTGTCTGATGGATCTCCTTCATGACTTGTGAAGTCTTCAACTTAATTTTCAAACTACTTCTTCCATACAATTATGAGCCAGCATTCTTCCTTTTCTTCATTACAAAACTTTTCTCAAAATGTGGGAGCATTTACCAATTAAAGTTAGCACAAGTTGTGAGTCCCATATCATTTAAACAATTCAGTAAAAGTTTGAATTACAATTTTTGTGTTTGTAA